CAGAGGCGAGAAACCCTGGTGTTATGTTCTTGGGTATGACTTTCATGTGCTTCAGTTTCAAGGACCCTCACTTTCCCCTTGCGCAGGGAGTGTGGGTGTGGGTGGGACAGATAAGAAAGAGGAAAGCAGCGGCTGGTTCTTCTAAGTTGCCTTTCAATAGCATTTTCTTCTCCTCCCTTCTCCTCTCTGTCCCCCCATTTGGACTGGGAACCCCAACTGGTGGGGGAGTGGGAACCACAGCAACCGCCTGGACAAAAGAATCCTATTGTGAATGGAGAAGCAGCACCTGCCAGTCGTAGGTCACCATCTCCCCCTCTTCCCGACCCTCCAGGACACAGGCAGCCGGGCTGGCAGGCGGGAGGGGTCGCGGAGCGCAGGACTGGGTGCCAGGAGAGCGTGACGCCGACACGCACGTCCATCCACACGAGTCACTGTTGGTTCAAGGAGAGAATCTCAGAGAGAATGAAAGCTGCCACGCGGCCCCCAACTCCTCACTGACCAGCTCTGCCTCGCCTGCAGCTGGAGGGAGAGTGGCAATGAGGTCATGAAAAGAAACGATTCCAAGGTTTGCTCTCCGCGGACTAGCGCGAGGAGTTCTGTGGAAACCTTCCAGTCCCCTTCGTTTTCATCACCCTTCACCTGAGTGCCCATAGGGTTCCCTGCGTTCGGGATTGGGGCTGTGAGGTGTCATTCCAGCAAGATCTGTTCTTCCTCCCGTATCCCATTGCTCTCTATTCACTCTTGTGGATCCGATGTTCAGTTTTATGGCTCAGAAAAACTAAGCTATGAAATAGCAATTCTTCGCTATATCTGTGCAGTGGCAGTTTTGTAGCTCAGGGGACTGGTCGGTCAAAAGCATGATAATTACTACCCTAGTCAGTGGTCAGCAAACTGCGGCTCAGCAAACCGCGGCCTGCGAGCCACATGCGGCTCTTTGGCCCCTTGAGTGTGCTCTTCCACAAAATACTGGCTCTTCCACAAAATACCGACTTCTGCGCATGTGCCACAAAGTTTCAATCGCACTGTACATGCGCGCCCGCACATGGTATTTTGTGGAGGAGCCACACTCAAGGGGCCAAAGAGCCGCGTGTGGCTCGTGAGCCGCGGTTTGCTGACCACGGCCCTAGCTGGTTTGGTTCAGTGAATAGAACGTCGGCCCGTGGACTGAAGGGTCCCGGGTTCGATCCCAGTCAAGGGCATTTACCTCAGTTGCAGGCTCAATCCCCAGGCCTGGTTGTGGCACGTGCAGAAGACAACCAATCGATGTTTCTCTCTGTCTCTCCCCCTCCCTTCCACTCTCTCTAAAAATCAATGGAAAAAACATTCTCGGGTGAGGATTAACAATAGAAAAAAAGCATGATAACTACTGATACAAAAGTAAAACTAACTTTTCCAGATCCTCCCAATGCGGAGGACGGGGAGGGAGAGCGAAGGTGGAAATGATGTTGATTTTATCTTTCGAATCCCCGCTGTTGCAACCTGGGAGGTTACTGCTGGAAACACTGGGTGGTGATCAGGTTTTGATCTGCAGAACGAAGTCCTGGCCGCCCATTTGCTTACGCAGCAGCTCACCATGTTGAATGACATTTGATAAGGACATGGGGATTCTTTGAACAAGAGTCTGGAAGCACTGAGAATTAATCCAGAAATGAGTATAGGATAGTCCGTGAGATGCCTTCGCCTGGCCCTGTTCCCTTGTGTTCTCCCTCTTCGCTGTGATAAGACGATGGTGCGTTACCTGACACAGAACATTTGAACGAGGGAAGATGCGGTGGAAGTAGCCAGTGTTGTCAGTGACGTGGCAGCCTGGCCCCTGTCCTCCCGGCCCCTCGGTGCCCTCTCTGGCTCCGACCCGCTCACTCTCCCACGTGCCCGGGGACCGCATTCTGTGTTGGGAGACCACCCTGCACAACCAGCCTGTTTCCGGGCGGCAGCCCCACCCCAGCCCTGCACAGCCGGCCGCATTCATTCCTATTTGCTGTTCCGTTCCTAAAAGCAGCTGGATTTATTCCCCCACTGCTGGGGCGTGTGTTTCTCTCCCACAGGCACGTACATAGGTGCCTTGATCGGCCTCCCTGTGGCCCTTCATCGGGCTGGCCTGGCTTTACAAGGCGTCGGAATTTCTACATCAGGCGTAAGGCCTCTCCCCTGGAGTTCATGCTGGAGAAGTTATGGCGTGATTAGCCTGATAGGTACTGTTTACCCCTAAAGACGCCCGGCCTATTCCTGCTTAAGCCGCGTGTCTGTGGGTAACAGACACTCCTGTGTAAATCTCCACCGCAGACCCGGGCACTTTTACGGCTCTTTGCTGCCGTAGAAATGATTGGGGAGCTCGTTAAGTCGACTCCGCTGTAGTTTAGGGCGGCTATGGAGCCCACGGAGGATGGAGAGAGAACGATTAAGCTTCAGCGAGAGCGAGGAGGTTCTTTAAGGGCGAGAGAATGAAGTCACGTGCACATCTGTGATGGTGCCAGCCTTTCCCCTCACTCTTCACTTTCTGCATTTTCCCTCCAGAGCTGCCCAGAAGTTGAATCTGTCTTCTAAGAAGAAGAAGCACCGACCTTCCGCTTCCGTGGCCGAGCCCCCGCTCTTCGGCACCAGCTTCAGTGGCATCCTGCAGACCTCCCCGCCCCCCGCCCCGCCCTGCCTGCTGCGGGCCGTCAGCAAGGTGAAGGACACGCCAGGCCTGGGCAAGGTAGGCACCCCGCCGCCTCCACTGGCTCAGGGTGTGGGGTTCGGTATGCGGGGAAAGGAGAAAACCAGGGCTCCGGTTCATTTGTTTAAAACAGGAGGTTGACCATAGACCTATGAACCAGGAGGTCACGGTTCAATTCCTGGTCAGGACACATGCCCAGATTGCGGGCTCCATCCCCAGTGTGGGGCCTGCAGGAGGCAGCTGGTCAGTGATTCTCTCTCATCATTGATGTTTCTATCTTTCTCTCCCTCTGTCTTCCTCTCTGAAAAAAAAAAAAAAAAGAAAGAAAGAAAAAAGGAGGTGGCGGGGAGAAAAGGAGAAAAAGTGGAATTCATTGGAAGTCCTGTAGGGTTTTCTTTGGTTACATGTACTCAACAGTAAATTCAGACATTCCAGTTAATGGAGATCTGATTTGATTTTGGCACAAAAAAGGGGTTTCCCTTGTTGGACAGAATTGTCACCCTTGAAAGAAACACAAAAGACGGCAGGCAGAGGCAGGAGGCCGCGCTCAGACACAGCGCGGGAATAAGACCTAAGGATGCTTCGTAGATGCAGTGACATGCTCATTGTTTCCTCCTCCTCAGAGAAATCACAGCTTCTGCTTTGGGGCCTGACTACTGGTGGGGTTTCTGGGGAGCGACTTCAGTTGTCCTGTTCTAGCCAAGAAACGCAATTTCGAATTTTGACGAAGACTTAGAAAGAGAGGCAGGAGCACTGTTTTCGGGTGTTGCTCAGCTACGTTGGGATAACTTGGTTTTTCAATGTCACCTTTATGCTCTCTCGTCTGATAAACATCTGGGTGAAGCAACTGCGGCTTAGTCTTCAGTTGGTAAAGAAGCCGAGATGGGTAGAAACCTGAGCGAGAGAACGAGGTGGCTGTTCCATGTCCCTTGCTTCCTGCAGGCACGGGGAGTCAGTGCCAGCGCCATGGGAGGTCCCGGCTTCACTTGGAAACGTGCAGATCTGGCCGAAGGGAGCTGCGGCCGTGTATTTCGGTCACTGATGCTCTTTCCCCTGGGCCCTCAGACATGGTTGTCCCAGGTTCATGGTTGTCTGTGGCCTCAGCCATGAGGCAGTCCTTCTGGGGTTCACCTGGGGCCCTCTTAAGGAAATACAATGGAGTTTAATATAGAACATAAGTCGTTGAGGCTACATATCATCTAGAATAATAAAAGGGTAATATGCTAATTAGACCGGACGAATTCCAGATGTCATTCTGGACGTCCTTCCTGAGGAAGCTGGGGCCGGAGGGAAGCCAGCCGCATCCCAGGTGCCAGAGGGAAGCCGGTGCCAGCAGCCGGGGGAAGTAAGGCCTACTCTTGCATGAATTTTCATGCATCGGGCCTCTAGTTTATATATATAAATCGGTATGTTTGATGTTGATAAACTTGATTCAATTGCCAAAAGCAACCTAATTATTTAAACCCCAGAGCAGGGGTCTCATGAGAGGGGGGAGGGGAGCAAGCCCAGTCCAACCCCCACCTCATGCCCAGCCCCCAAGGACTTCCTCAGTGTTAGTGTCACTGAAGGAGGAGCGCACGAGGCTGAAAGGGGTAAAGAATTATGGATTTACTAGAGGCCCAGTGCATGAATTTGTGCATGGGTGGGGTCCAGCTGGTGGGCCCGCCCCGATCAGGGCCGATAGGGCCCGGCTGGCCGGGGGCAGGGGATGCAGGAGGTTGACTGGTCGGCCCCGCATCCTGGTCGAACTCCCTGTGGAACTCCCGGTCGAGGGGACAATTTGCATATTAGCCTTTTATTATATAGGATTAGGTGATCTGGAGACCAGATGGGCTGAGCCCTCAAATGGCACCAGCACCCAGGAGTAGGGAGGCAGAGGTTGTCAGCGACTCCAGGCGGGCTTTTTCGGCAGAGAACTCTCTGGGTGGGTCCGGATCCTGGGAAAGTCAGGAGGGGAAAGATAAAGGTCTGAGCAATGGAACGTGGTCTGAGCGAAAGGGAGTGTGGGTGGTGACGTGGTCTTCAGGGAAGTTCCCAGGGGAGGGCTTTTAGGGGTCCATTGAGAGCTCCCCTCTCATGAAGTAGACAGGAAGACTGAGGCCCAGAGAAGGTAAGTTTTTCCAGTGCCTCCTGAATCAATCCAAGGAGTCCTTTATTTTCTGCTGTCTCACTGGGCTGCACCTAGATACACAAGCCCTTTCAGAATCTGGACTGGAGATAAGCGTGCCACAGGGCCATGATGATAGCAGACTAACGCTGGGAACCAGCTGCCTTCATCCAGTGGAGGACACGTGTCCCTTTTTAGAGTCATGGTTGGGAGAGAAAGGGCAGGAACTGGGAGAGCAGACACAGAGGAGATCTGGGCACTCCATGCCACCCCTCCCCTGGCTCCCACTCCCTGCTGTTTCCGGGGCAACTACCCACAGCCACCTTCTACTTAGAGCCATTGCTGGCCACTGAGCACTTCTCCTCAGCACCTGGAGCAGATCCTGGCTCACAGCGAATATTTATTGACGACCTACTAAGTGTCAGGCACCGGTGCTGAGCGCTAGGCTTGCACTCAGGGCAGAGGAGGCAGAATCCCGCTCTTAACAACACTTGTAATCTGGTGCATTGTTCCAATTAGTCTTGGACATTTCAGCAACCTGTACCAACATGAAGGACAGTTTGATCTAAGAAGGTAGAATTACAGACTTAAAATATTTCTGCCTAACTTTGAAATGATGTAATGAAACGATGCTACTGAGTGGCCTTGTAAAGACATTCATAGTGAACTGATAGAGATGATTAGTGGATCGGAGCAGTTTAGTCCCTGTTTATATTTCACTGATTTGGCTTATATGTAAATGATACGGCTAATCTGTTTGGAAATGGTTCCTTCTCCTAAGTCAGTATCCACTCGTAGTGAAATTTGTTTGCACAATTAATTAACATCCTTGTTTAAAGTTCATGTATTAGTGTGTCACAGCTTAATGTCAGAGCTCTTTGTCTTGGGTGATGAGCGTCTAGAGCAATTCCTATGATCTGTTGACTCACTATGTCTATGACTCTAGCCATACCATGGGTGCATACATGCTTTTATTTTTAAAAAATTTATTTTTCAATAATAGCTGACATACAGTATTATATTATTTATTATTTTCAGGTGTACAGCATAGTGATTAGACATTTATATACCTTACAAAGTGAACATTACTCAGCCCTAAAAAAAGAATGAACTCTTACTATTCGTGACAACATGGATGGACCTAGAGGGTATTATGCTAAGTGAAATAAGTCAGGCAGAGAAAGACAAATGCCATATGATTTCGCTTACACGTGGAATCTTTAAAAAACCAACATACATGAACAAACGCATGGACGCTTTTAAAGGTAAGAATGGTAATGGTGAAATTGCATTGGTGATGACAGTCCACCTGGGTGTTGGCTAATTCTCTTCCCAGAAGAATATCAGGAGGGAAATAATGTCTTCATAATAATTCCTTCATAATCTCTAGGAATGCCTCCCCCCAACCCCAACATGTTTTGGGGATAAAAGAAAACTCTTGGAGGTCAATACCAGCAGCAAGAGGATGGACTGTGGAATTTGGAAAGTTCATTAAAAATTGGATGGAGCAAATGTGAAGGGGGATGATGGGAAGTTAAGCTGGGGACAGGGTGAGGGGGGTTTGCAATACCTGACTCATTCAGTGAGTATCCACAGCCGTACTGCGTTCCAGGTACTGCAGTAGGTGTCACCCCAAGGGACAGCACATAGGGGCTGAGTGGCTACTCAGGCCACATCCCTGCGAAGGGAGAGGAAGGAGGGCGTATCCTGAGCTCCATGAACTCTAGGTCCCCATGAAATGTTTGCCTGGCGTCTGCCCCAGCCACCACTCCTGGGCTACAAGTGATGGTTCCTTCTCCTCGGGTCCTCTCTCAGCCTCGTCTGGGCAGCAGAAGGGGGTGTGGCATCCGCTATGTGGATCCCCGTCACCGCCCATGCCCATGCCCATGCCCATCCACCTGGGCATTCCTGAGCGGCTTCACTGAGCTTCCTCCTCCGTGGACGGTGTGGCCCAGGGCAGGGCATCTGGTGGAATCCTCCGGCCAGTAGTTGAGAAGCAGACTTGCTTGTCTGGCCAGATTATGTCTCCTACGCATTGAAGGCTGGACCCATTCATCTCTGTTCTCAGTCCTGGAGTCGAAGTCATACCTATCTCTTATTCGGCACTGTTTTCAAACCCAGTAGCAGCATATTTGACCTCTATTAAATCATATGAACATATATTCATTCATTCATTCTCTCTCTCTCTCTCTCTCTCTCTCTCTCTCTCACACACACACACACACACACACACACACACACACACACACACACTCACTACTTGGCTCATGTCACCAGGTCCTGTATTGTCTATAATTAGTCTATTTCTAAACTTTCTCTTGTTTGGTGTGTAAACTAATAGCATAGGGCAGTGGTTCTCAACCTTCTGGCCCTTTAAATACAGTTCCTCATGTGGTGACCCAACCATAAAATTATTTTCGTTGCTACTTCATAACTGTAATGAATCGTAATGTAAATATCTGATATGCAGGATGGTCTTAGGCGACCCCTGTGAAAGGGTTGTTCGACCGCCAAAGGGGTCTCGACCCACAGGTTGAGAACCGCTGGCCTAGGGAAAAAGGCACCTAAAAGCACCACTCCCTTTGCAGAGTTACGACCATTTTTTAGGGTAGAAGTCCTTCAGTTACCGAGCCCTTAGCAAACACCGCGTGGAAAAGGAAGCCAAGAGTCTTGTCCAGTTGACATTCTGATGACAAGAAGGGGAAACAAAGCGAGAGAAGCATCTGATTAAGACCTTGACGAGTTGCTAACGTAGCTCTTACTCATTTATCAGCAAGTAGACACGGCTGGTGCAGGGTCCCTTGCTCAAGAAGCGATGCCACGTTCCATTGAGGAGGGAGTGTCACGCCGTCCAGCCCACCACGGGCGGGGGTGTTTGAACAAACAGTGTGCAGATTGTTGAATTCCTCATCCTTATTTCTATCATTTCTCG